TTAACTATAGCCAAGCTAATGAGAAGGGGTAAGGTTTTGGTGAATGCGTGTTTCTTATGTAAGGGGGCTGAGGAGAGTTGCAACCATGTATTGCTGTGCTGTCCGATGGTGTACAAGTTGTGGACCATGATTTATGGTTGCTAGTTATCGGTTGGGTGATGGCAGACTTGGCGAGAGAAGATGTAGGCGTGGAAGGTCATCAGGAGTATGAGTAAATACGCAAACGTGATACCACTTACTATTTTTGGTCTATGTGGAAGGAGAAAAATAAGAGAGCTTTTGATGGAGAAAAATAAGAGAGCTTTTGATGGGGTAGATGATGCGAATGAGTTCAATGTCCTCAAGAATAGATAGTTCTAAACCTTTAGTTTTTTGTTAGCAGGTCATTCTCCACAGCCAATGGAGGATTTAGAAGACCTTATTGACAAGTTGATAGATTTAAAAATACCTTTGTACATGGGTTGTCACCCCCTTGGTGCTCATAGCAATATAATTCTTTATACTTTTTATTTTAAGAAAAGGATCAGACGACTAAATTTGTAGACGAAGATAGTTTTTTGTGTAATGATACCCATCGTCACTTTCTTTCTTGTATTTCTTTAATTTAGTTACCCCAATTTAATGTAAAATTTTGGACGGCAATAGTTACATCCTGTTATATTTGACAGAGAGGAGAAAGTCTTAAATTTTTAAATTATCTAGTATCTGAATATATAAATTTTTTTGGGTAGTAATTTGTGTTATTGTGCAGATCAGAATATGATACACTTGGTACTTCTGTCAAGTCTGCTCTTGTTTATCTTGGAACAGCTTTGGTAAAGGTTGGTGGTCCATGAAAACACAATGAGGAGAAGATTCCTCATAATTGCTTTATGGTCTTCTACTTCAAGTATTTATTCTTTCAATTCTTTCTGCTCTATCTATTTGTTTCCCTCATTTGCTTTAATATGCTGGCAGCTTATTTGTTTGGCAACCTTTCTGAAGGTATCTGAGAATGACAGCTATGATCCCTATCAGGTGTGTTCTCACATTGGAATAATCAAGTTTTGTTTGGAGGATGCAAATGGTAGCTTATTTATGTCAAGACAAATTGAACCTTCTTACAAATTCGATTTTTTTCTAAAGTCTATGTTTGGAACAAACAAACCCCACAAAGAAACTTGTCTAGTTCATCTGGATATCCACATTTTTATCAGTATTCTGGACATCTAAAAAAATAGCTTTCAAATGAATTCTGCTTCTTTTTCTTTTGTGAAAATTCATTTGTTCCAAACATATGGAAATTGTGAGGAGAAGAGAATTTCAACTTTGATTTTGATGGGTACTTCTGTAGACTGGAGTTTCCTTTGTCTTTTAAACTTCTTGCATAGAAAGGCTTTCCTTTCTTTAGTGCTAATTCCAGGTTTCATTCTGCTGTTGTGGTTTCATTATGCTGTCAGCTTGCATTGTACTACTATTAAATGTTATTTCCTTCTCTAGAGGTTCACTTATGTGACTTATTAATCATAGATTATAATACCATTTGGTTTCAGGAATTGTTAAAGGCGATGATAGGTTTTATAGATGTAGCTGGGCTTTATTTTGCCTTAACACAGTTGACCCACAGGAACATCTCCCAGAATCATAAATTTCAAGCAGTTGGATTAGGTAAGCAACTCATTAAGTTTGATGAATCGGCCACCTGCTATTAACTTTTAACAGTCAGTGGCTGTCATTATGTTGATGCTTTAGTGTCACTTAGTTTATCATCTTTTATGAGTAGATTTGTAGTTAGATTAGCATGGCAGTGCAATCCTAGTGACAGTTAGCAATGCCTGTGTGATATTAGTAAGGGCTTTTGTTTTTACTCTCTCTCTTTTTATTTTTCCCGGCTTTTGTTGTGCTTCTGCTGGAAAGGTTGTTTCATTTGGATTTGGTTTCTAGTTCTCATTTAAGAACATGCTGCGTGACAAGATAAAATTGTAATTTTAGTTTTCCAAAGTTTTGCTTTATTTCATAAAATAAAAATAAAATTCAGTAACTGAAATAATAACCAAGTTAATAAAGAAAAAATGCCATTTGGTCAAATTGGTTAAGCTCAACACTTAGTAGGATTTTTTTTCCCTAACCAGTTTCTTACAAATCCTAACAAAGACCAAAATTGAAGGGAGTTAAACATTAAACATGGCATGAAGTTGTAAAGCAGTCATGAACTCTTTAAATCCCCAATGTACCCTGTTCATTACATGTGCATTCTTTGTCCATCAGCTTGCCACAGCAAAATCTTGAAAGCTTAATACCCTGTCCGTTGCATTTGCAACCTTTGCCTGTCATCTTGCAGTGGCAAACTCTTGAAATCTCTACTCCACACTGTCTGTTGCATGTGCAACCTCTGTCCATCCTCTCATCAGAGCTAAATACGTGCTATTGAGAGTAAGAGCGAGATAGAGGCTGCAAGTGCTGGTGATTCTGGATCTCAAGAGTCCATAAACTGAGATAGTTGATGGCTTGAGGTGAGAGTTAAATAAAAAGAGAGGCTGCAAGTTCCATTAATTGTGGATCTCAAGAGCCCATACAAAGTTGATGGCTTGAGATGAGAATCAGAAGAAATAGAAATTTTTATATACTGAAGTAACCTCAGAACTTAACCATGTTAACTGAATTTTATCAGTTTGGTCAGTTAATTCAGTTTTAACCAAATGGCATAGCTCCACCACCATCATATCTGAACTAGACAGGTCTTTTCGTACATTTCTTGCTATAACCATTATGCTTAAAAATGGCCTGCTATATCATAAAGGAAGAGCATGTGAAGGATAGAAGATGGCCTCAGGATCTCAATAGAATGTATCTCAATAATCTTCTACTGATCATGTTATAATGCAAATTTCTCCTCAATGCTTTTACTAGGTCCAGTTAGATTTGTTGATATATATAAAACTTTTTGTTGAATTTTGACAGGGTGGGCTTTTGCTGATTCTGTTCTACACAGATTGGCACCTCTTTGGGTGGGTGCAAGAGGTCTAGAATTTACTTGGGACTACATTTTGCAAGGCCTTGAAGCAAATGCTAATTTGGTATTATTCATTTCCTGAATCAACATGATATTTTTGTTCGTGCATTTCTTGACAATCATGATTTATTTAGGACAAAGTCTAGATATGTTCAGTACTATATTGATATCATTTAAATTTGAACAGGATTGCTTTTCTCTTTTTTGCATTCTAACCTTGCCTGTCCTTATAAGTTCAGGTGTTGAGTATATCCCTTGCAGCACTAGGATCTTTGATGTGGCTCCGGAAGAACAAACCTAAGACTTCGATTCCTATTATATACTTGTGTGCTGGGATTGTTGCAACAATGCCATCCATTACAAGGTCTGCTACTCAAGTTTTTCCATCTTTACCACTGTTATCATTCAAAAATCCACATTTGGTCTCACTGCATTGCTTTCTGTTACATATTAGATTTGCTTGGTACAAATGTGTGGTTCTGATAGCAGAGGCACCAAAGTGTTTGTCTTATTAAATTATGCATTTGCAGCTATCTAAGGCGAGGTTTGGGATGGCATTTCCCAGAGGTGGTGGGCTTTGAGCTGTTCACTTCTCTGATGATGGCTTTTACTAGTTGGCAACTATTTGCTGCATGTCAGAGACCCTCTTCCTGAGTTGCCAACAGAGCATCAATTGCAGGGCAGCTTCTGCAGAAGGGTTCTGAGAGCTTTCTTAATTATCTTGCGGAGATCTTATCCCATCTTCAGTTTCCTGTTAGTTTACTTGACGTCTTATTTTTGCATATCGTTGATGCAGTTAGCATAAATTATCAGCTTCTTATATCCTTGTTATAACCGTATAAACTCAAAGATGCCATTTTCGGCAATGTAACTCCAGAGAATCAGTTTAAACTAGAGAAGTTTTTTTTGAAGGTTGATATGGAAAGCTCGTTTGTTGAACCAATTGCTGACCTTGCATTTTGTATTAATTGCAGAATTAGCTTGCAGAGACATCGATTTAGAAGACAATAGATGAATGGATTTTGTTTTTGGCTTATATGAAAGTTTGAGTGACCAACTGATTTTAATTTCTAGTAGTCTCTCGAAGGTTTGTGCATATAGCTAAAAAAGAGTCGTTTAACCTCCGAGAAACACAGAAGGAATCCAAATAAATAAAAGAAGAATTTAACTGGTTCCAGGCGCAGACATGACGTTTTAAACTTATTAGCACTTGATTAAAAATTGAAAGATCAACAGGAAGGTATGATTTTACAGCCAAAAGAATTTAAAGTAAAAAGAGAGAAAAGACGATGAAGATCTGAAGTATTGATAAAACATAGAGATGAAATGGTAGATTTATTCAGCTTCCTCCACAGAAGCTTCAATTCGGAGAAGAACAAATCCAACTGCAACCCCAATAAGAACAAGTCCATTCATAATCGCAGCAATCCTGAAAATCTCACCTGCAGCATTGCAAGTAGAAGAAAGTGCACCACCACCTGATCTTCCTTTGCCACGTTTCAAGGAGCTAATGACATTGGCAAAGCTCTGTTCCGTGCACACAGGCAGCCCAAGAGACAACACCACACTGTTGTGAGCTTTTAGACCTCCATAAGAGTTAAGTCCTCTCAGGTTCACCACCTGGTTCGTTTTCTTCTGGGTGGTGGCATGCATCGTTGTACAGCTCATAGAAGCTGGAGCCAGAACTGCTGTTGCGGCCGCCATCTCTGCAAGTCGGTGAAGATTTTTGGAATGTATGAATTCAGTAAAAGAGAGTGAAAGTAAAGCAGAGAAAGAGAAAAGAAGAAGGAAAGGGGATTACCTGCGCTGCGTGTGTGAAGTGAGAGTCAGGAAAAAAAGGGAGAAGGGTATTAAGCGAGTTTGGATAAGATGATATGAAAATGGATGGCTGGCGATGCGCCAAATGAGATTTTCATATGGGGCTTTCATTTCTCCGCTTTCTACCCTTTCATTCCCGCGCCATTCTATGTACGTACGTTAAATTTTTAGCCTAAACTTGGATGCTATTACTTGTATAATTTTTTTAAAAAATTATATTTCCAATAATTTAGCGATAAATACACGTTAATGATAATATAATTGGAATCATCTAATAATTACACATGAAATACAAAATTAAATTTAAATCCACGAAATATTAACTTAAATACACGGAATAAACTCCAAATTAAATTAAAAATAATGTATTTTCAATTTAAGTTTCTTAAATTGTTTTATTTCAAGATAAAAATAAAACTGCGATGATTCTAAATTAATTATGAAATATATTTTAATGATTATAGTGAAAACTATGAATTGAATTAGTCTAGTTGAATTAGATTTTTATAATACTAGTACAAAATCTTGCTAATTGCTAAACAACAATAATAATAATAATAATAATAATTTTGTCTTTACCGTTAGGTTTATATAGTTTTCATTTACATCTTTAATTGTTTTCAATTCTCTATGCATGTTTTAGTTTAGTAGTCGAATAATGTAAAATGCATTTATATATTCTCTAAAATATATTTAACTTTTAAATTCATAATTAATGTAAGAATACTTAGATCAAATCTTATAAAAAATCTTGGTTAATTTTCGGAATTCATTTGTATCCCGAACCCAATATTTCTTGAAGTCGTAAAATACATAATTGTATGTCCAAAATCGTTTTGAATTATTTTACTTGATTAAGCTATCAACTATTAGATTTATCGAACAAATATTGATCAAGTTAGGTTATCAAAATTTACCAATTGAACGTGTTAAGGAATCAAATGTTATTACCTTTGGCTATTGAAAGTTACCGTTTTACATATGAGTAAAAAATTGACAAATTACGGTAACATCACTTCATATGATTCACCTTATCATGTAAGAAGATTCGTAATAAACAATTATAAGTAAAGGATTTCACATATCAGTCACCCTGATACAATGTATGTGCAAGGATAAAAGATTACAGTAAGGAAAGACACCTTCGTACATTGCTTAAATCGCCATAAATATATTACTTTTATTGTTAAAATCACCTTTGATTTGGTACTAATGCAAATCATGGCAAACGATATTCTTTGTGAAGTAAGGAAGGAGTAGGGAGGATGAGCTGGGAAATTAACGGAGATACGCGTGATTATTGGGGAGATGATCACAGGAGAGTGCAGGGATTCTCTGCTGAGTGGAGCCCCCAAGTGCCATGTGTTCGTTCTCCATTGTTTAGCTTTGAGAGAAAGGGCTCGGCGTTTAAGACACCACCAAGCACGGTGCAAAAGCTCGGCGATCATATATATCCGAGCCCTGCTTTTCGTCATCAGTGCTTTGAGTGCAAATAAGTTCATTTGCATGCCAGCAGCTCTTTCAGCAGTGGGGTTTCCGTGTGAAATTTGTGATCCAGTCCTTGCACTTACCCCTTACACAAATCAAACATAATTTTAGCACTAAAGGGACATTGTCTTGTTCGTTGAAGAACATCATATGGTGGGTATTTACCGTCCCTTGAATTTCTACTTATTTCCCTTTATTTGCTGCATCTCTGTTCTTGGTTTCTTTTCCCCTCATTTTAGAAGTTTTTTATGCAGACCTGTTAGTTGATGAAAATGGGTGACACTTGCAAGAACTGCAGGAGTTGGGAAGAGGAGATCTTCTGGACCCATTTCCAGACAGTCCATTTCTCTCAGTTTCTTCATGCTGGTTTCAACCACCAGCTTGTAAGTTCTTTTTTGATATGGAATAGCTTGAGAAATTATGCTCTTTCGTGGGTGTTGAGGTAGTAATCTGGAATGAACTTCAGTCTCTTTTCTCTTTGTAGCTTATGTATTTATTTAGTGCGGTGCATTCTAGGGTGACTTGACCCTTGGACCAATTTCTCGTAACTGGTATTTGAGGTCGGATTAAAGTATGGTAATTTTGCAATTAGACACATTTGAAATTTTTTTTAATAGTTTTGGCTATTGGAATAAGTTAAGGATATCTTTATAACAAAAGAAACTGTTTTTGTGAAATTTATCTGAAAATTTACACTTAACGTGAACATCCACACTTAGAATATGATGATTTTTCTAAAAGACTTAGAAGATGATAATAATTGACCTAATAAGAAATCTTAAACAGAATTAAAATAATACATCTCGATTTCCGTTAAATTTGATGAAATTTTGAATGCATTATGTTAATTCTACTTGGGATTTTTCTCCTCTGTCAACTTGTACCATTCTTTCGTTGTCAATTTGTGGATATGAATAGGGTCTAGGTCTATGAATGGTTACAGATAAGATAATTAAAAGGGTTAACTATTTGATGAATATATTTAGGTGAATATATAAGAATGATGTATAAATTTATGTATGCTAGAATGCTTATACAAGTGTGTGGACTTGGAGAACTGTTATATGTATTTTCTTTTTCGAGGAAAAAACTATTATATGTGGTTCCAAGAGCCTGATGGAAGGTAGCCTGGGTTGAGGACAAAAATATTGTTTAACATTCTTGACTCATCACTCTCCCTGTAATCTCTTGAAAAATGTTGTCCGCTAGCTTCTAGTAAACAGGCAGGGGAGCTTCCAATTTCCAGTAAAGTGCTATCAGAGATTCAGAGATTCAGAGCTTCCACTTTCCAATATAGACTGAAAGTTTGAATGGTGTTTCAACTTCTATGTTTGGCTTTGTTCTCATGATCTCTCAGGGTACAGAGATTTGTGATCTTGGCTACAGCTTAAGCATATAATTCACCAACACTCTAAATTCTAAATTTCTCTATGAACATGAGATTGGTGAATAGAACATTAATACTAGAGCAATTAGGTGAAAAAGAAAGAAAAGAAATATTGTTGCAAGGACTTTCATGAAGCCTTCTAAAGGCAACTAACAATACTTGAACTTCAATATATTCAATGATTTCGGACCCTATTGATCATAATGGAGATTATCTGAGTTTCTGTCTTTCCGGGCGAAGAAAATTAATTTTGTAGTTTAACAGTAATTTGGTCCTTGACCTTGAGAGATATCTTTGTTTGAAGCTCTTGAATGTTTACAGTCAATTGGATATCTGATTATTTTATGATGCTTCTTGTAGATATAATCAACCTTCAATATCAACTTTCTTATCGTCATGTATTATTGAATTTGCTTGCACATTACCTTTTTCATCTTCTTTAAGATGTAAGTTGAGTTGCAACTATGCATTGAATTGCAGCCTATGCCGGAAAAATTTGCCACAAATTTCAAAAAGAAACTACCAGAAATTGTGACTCTCAAAGGTCCTAGTGGCGACACATGGAATGTTGGATTGACAGAAAAAGATGATGCCCTGTTCTTTGATCATGGGTGGGAAAATTTTGTTAAAGACCATTTCCTAGAAGAGAATGATTTCTTGGTATTCAAGTACAATGGGGTCACCCATTTTGATGTATTAATATTTGACGGACAGAGCATGTGTGAGAAGGCTTCTTCATATTTTGTCAGAAAATGTGGACATGGAGAACATGAGAGTGGATATAATATAAAAACAAAAATGCCACTAAGTTCTGTCGATATTATTCATACCCCATCTGCTGTTGAAGGCACTCCACGGAAGGCCACAAATATCCAGAATGACACACCACCAAGAGAGCCTATAATCTTGGGAGCTTCTAACAAGAGAATGAGAAGTGGAAACAATTCTGTTAGAGATCCTTACAACAGACAGAGAGGAAGACATGAATCTGATGACTTCCTTGAAGATGTGGAGATCAAACCAGGTATGGGAATTCTGAGTCTTGTAATATTAAAAATGCTTTCCTGTTGACTCCTTCATGATGATGTTTTTGAGTTCTAAAAAATTTTGATTTCATATGAAAGTTCTGAGACCAAAAGGTTTTATCTTCCGTTTAGCTGATCATTTGTACGAGTACAACAATATGCTGGCAATCAAGTGTCTTGAGTTTATAGATACACTTGAATGGATTGGCACTACTTTTTGTTTTGTTAATGTTTTTGATTTTCAAATGATTCAGATATTGCGAACTTGTCCCTAAGTAGGAAGCTTTGTGATAGCCCAGAGTTTTTGTCAAAACGAAGGCCTGTAACTGAAGATGAGAAAAGGAATGCTTTGCATTTGGCAGAAGCTGCAACAACTGATGAAGGTTTCTTTGTAGTTATGCGCCCTACGTGTGTATACAAGAAATTCTTCATGGTAATAATTGTCCTGAACTTTCATCTTCTTTTCGTATCTAATATGCTTTCTTCCCTTCATCCCTCATTTTTTGCATGCTAGTCTCTCATAGGACCATAGCAGAAATATATATACATATATACATGGATATATCAAGTTTTACCTGCTATTAGAGTAAGCAATGACTATTTGGTTCTGAAGCTCGCCCTTGATATTGTACATGTTATTTCTTTCAGTCAATACCTTCATCATGGGTGATCAGAAATCTTTCTCTGGAAAACCAAGATGTGATTCTACGAACAAATGGAAATATGTGGTATGCCAGATTCAGTTGTTATAAACCTCGCCACAGTGGAGGCCTTTTAGCTGGGTGGAAGAAGTTCGTTTTAGATAACCACTTGGATGAATTTGATGTATGTGTGTTTGAGCCAGTCAGGCTTGGGAGTAACCCCATTGTCCTTGATGTTAGAATCTTTCGTGTTGTACAAGCAGCAATTCCGTCGAGCCAAGTGAGGCCAGACTAAGAAAAGTGGTGACACAATACATGCATAAGGCTAGGACTTTTTTGGAGGCGGACATAAGATGAGTTTTGCAACTCTGTTCTTTCTCCTACCATGTAGCTGTCTCAGATTTTCCCTACCAAGGATTTCTCATGAATTGCTCGGGTTTATAACTTTGTTGACTTTTCAGTACTAGAGCTTCTTAAGAATTTGTTGCTGGGAAAACTATTCTCCAAGGTATTATGCATAGATGTCTATATAGATTGACAGTTTATGAAGTTGCATCTCTGTTTTTTATCTTCTGAAGCTTTGGTGTCAAGTATATTGGTTTTATGCGTTGATTGCAATGTCAAGTATCTAGTGTGTATTCCTGGCTGGTACTTCTCATGAGTCAAATTGAAGTACTTATTGATCGGACCTCTTTATCTTCAAAAGATCACTGTCGAACACCTCTTATATGATATCGGTATAACAAATATAAATCTCTTTTCTCATCAATATCCACACTGCTTTGTATGCTTTGATTTCAGGGTGACCTTTTTAAAAAAAAAAGAAGTTCAAGAACAATTTTTTGCCTCCCATAGGTGTATGGTTTAATATACAGGCAGAGCATCTACTACCATAAATTGGTTCAATTATTAAAACAATATTATGATTAAATATAGGACTATATTCAGCATATTAAATAATTTTATTTCCTATGAAATTTTCGTAATCTTGCAACCTCCTAATTAAACAGAATTTTGTTTAAATAATTAATTGGACTTATTCGTGCATCAATAAAACTGCAATGACAAAATATTCATTTTATAGCAGCAGCTATGATTCAGAAACATTCCCCCCAGCAGAGGGTTATAGCAACATGCCCAATTTTTCAACCAAAAAACATATCACTTACTGTAGTCTAAAATTAAAGTAAAACTGGAGTAAGATTCACCAAAACGGAATGGAGATTGATTTCAAAACGAGACATTTACTCTCAAGTTCCAGTTAGATGCAATATCATCTTTCCAAGAACTGTGAAATGGTTATCTTCATCTTCTCATAAAGTTAAGGCACCATATTAATTTTTCAAGGTTCTTTTGTACTAAAGTCAAGCTGCACCTCAGCATAAAAAATGAAGTATATCATCTAATTTGCAACCAATCGACACAAAATTGATCAAGACCAGGAAGAACTGTGGCTATGCATTCACACAAAACGGGTGTGTTCCGAAACATTCCAGAGTTCAGACTGGCAT